ACTCTCTTTTGTCCTTCTAAATGGTTCACTTTTTATTTTAGTAATCTGTGTGCCCATTAATTTAAATATTAGTTCTGTCACTTAAAAAAAAAGGTTTTCAATACCACGTAGAGTCGAGCTGCTCACTTGTGAATAATCTATGGAGTTAACACTGAGATTTTAAAAATCTCTCATAAAATATTTATGGCTATTTGACATCTGCATTGTTTGTAGAATTCACATACAGGGTTTCATCTGAGAAATCTGACTTGTTTTGTTTTTCTTCGTGTATGCAAGTCCTGATAGTGCAACTTTTCTGGCTGGGTAACTCTCAGATGTGAAATTATTCTGCAAATGCCAATGTTTGAGTTAAAAATGTTTTCTGTAAAAAGTGTGTGGTATTCCCCCAAGCAGCGCTGTGTCTGTGATCAACTCTTCTGGCAAACCTCTTTGCTACAGGATCTGTAAAGTGAGTGCAAAAGGGGAAGAAAGGCGGACAAAGCAATTCTGAGTGGCTTTTTTTTCCATGCATCAGTAAGAATTATTTTATATAGTAGCTTAGCTTTTAATTCACTACAGTTCATTTAAATAAAGTGGTATGCAAAGTAGTGATGGCTATTTTAATGAGTAGCTCTGTCACAAAGACGGTTTTGAAATAGTGAGAAGAAATTAGAAACCTTTTTTTGGAAATGAAATATAAATTACTCTAAGTGTGATGGGCTGTCATCATGCAGTCTATTTCAGTCAGGTCGATGCCCCAGTTAGTCTTCAGTTCCAGGGAACCCAAAATTGTAAAATGACATGAAATGTGACTGAAAAATGCATCTTCTTATAGATGTTATAAAGTATGACAATATGCATGGGTCAGGCAGAGCCAGTCAGAAGCACAATTAACAACTTTTCTGTCTTTGATGGAAAAATGGCACAGTTCACTTACTTATTTTTTTTAATCACTATTTCACATTTTTCTGATGGTATGCTGGAGTCGACCCAACGTTGCTTTCTGTACATTTTCATCTGGAAAATATATTGCATATCCACATCCTGTTCCATACTCATGCTGATATTTTTAACAGATGACTAAGGGTCAGGTATTCGCAGAGGAGTTCCCAGCAGAGGCCAGATTGTTACCCCGCATCCCGGAAAAAGTCTGTGCCAAGTCCTGTGGTGTGGACATTCATCGAGAGGACACTCCCTGGCTGCTCATTTTAAACATAGACACTGTTTGTAATGGAAGGACCAGAAATGTGGCACATTTTCACCAGAGCTGCACAGAGTACAGGCAGGAGGACAAGCCATCCTCTAATGGACAGGCTTTCCAAAGTTGGGGTTGGTGAAAGGTGCCAACACCATATGTTTTCTTTCCTTGTTGTATCTTAAAGTCTTGCCCCTTGCAGTCCTGCGTCAGCTCCCCTAGCCCAGGGCTCCTGCGTCCCTGTGCGTCCCACCTCGTGTTGGGCCATTGTTGAGCATACGGTCTCTGAAGACCATGTTGTGTTTGAGGTATGTTAAGTGACTTTGTTGTCAACTGGTAGGACTGAAGATGAGGAGCACTTGGTTTTCTTCTCTACCAGGGCCTTAGCTGCCCTTGTGGAATCTCTGTCTTGGTGCTTTTATTTGATGGGAGGGATGTGACACTGCTTACCTCCCAGGGGTGCAGTGAGACTAAACGTCGTGTGCGTAATGCTCTTGAGGTCAGGTATGTAAACGTGTATCTAATGCTGGCAGTGCCAGGGCTTTTCTTAAAGTATCTGATAACAAACAATGATTTTGCCACCTGTAAAATATTGGAGTTGCTCACAACACATGCTTCCAGGCTCTCCCTATGGGGAGCAAAATTGGGGTTCTTTGCCATCAGGTGTTTGTGTACTTCAGTATCATAAACCCCACATTTGCTTTCCATTAAATGCTTCTTCCCAAAAGCTTTTAAGTCACTGAGACCCATATGTTACCACATGCTACTTGTTTATTTTTTTTTTTTTTATGAATAGAACATCTTTACTTGAATCAATAAAATAGGTATCTGCTACAATACAAGAAATCTCCACAGTGGTTCCTGGAATACAGAGAAATTAAATAGGCTTCTTGTAAATCTCTCCTCTCGTAGATCCAAATTATAAATTAAATAAGAAAACCATAAATACACATTTCAACATACAGCAATTATTAGGTAGAAACATTAATCATCTCTTTGCCTCCATTCTTATACTGCTTAAAGCTATTAATTAACAAGTGAAACACTATGATACAGCTTTTTCAACAGACAAAACTCTTGCTGCCCTGGACTGTGTGTTGGGTGCTCTATGGGTCACGTTAGCTACAAAGGCAGGTACCACAAATGCTTACTGTCTTAATTACCCCAAATGCAGCAAATGGACTTTTCCCAGTGTCTGTCCCTCTTTATTTTTCCTTTGCTTAAAGAATGAGACCAAAAAAGGGAACTGGTGGTTACTATTCTCCCTACTCCTTGAATGTAGGCATTGCTGTGTGGGAGAGTAGTCCCACTGAATTTCCTGGGTTTACCTTCTGGCAGGATCTCTGTGGGCGGGGGAGGGGGGTGTAATGTGGTTGGTGATATTTGTAAAAGACGTTTCAGGAAAATCTTGGCCATGGCTCCAGCTTGGTTCGGTCATGGAGGACCCGATGTTGACTATTACATAGAGTCAATGTGTCAGGGTCTAACTGAAAACTGCTCTGGTGCTGTTCAGGGGCCATTGGCATTGCTCTCACACACCATGACTGGCAACACATGGTCAATACCAGGCCACCGTCGCCTCTTCCCCTTGCCTTGCCAGCAGCTGGGGCCTTTCAGTGTGTGGTTAAGGAGGAGCTGTGTTCTGCTTCTTTACCAGGAGGAAGAAAGAAAAGCAGGAGAACAAATCACCCCTCTGTCAGGCTGCCAGGCCAGAGAAAGACTTTTGCCTTTGGTAAGGAGAAGGGGAGTGTCTGTGTGATTTCTAGCTGCAAGGCTGTCCTCTGTCAGTTGTTGAGCACTTCTGAAGGAGAAGCCTGAGACTGAAGAAGGGATGGACAGCTGCACGTGAGGGCTGACAGAGAGAGATATTTTATGAAGGGCTAGTGCCTCTCCCCTCCTTGGCAGACTGAGTTGGCTCTGGCCGTATGAAAAGCCATACTACCTTTATAAATGAGAACTTCCTTCCCTATCGTACTGCCTTCTCCAGCACATCCAGCCCCCCACAGGTGTCCCCTGCTGCCCTCCTTGGAGCCACCAGGGACATTTGCTCTGTAAAGCTACCAGGCTGCTCCAGTTGCTTTCCCGTCCTATGGACTTTGGTTGCTCAGGTTGTCAAGCTGAGAACCTTTTCTGTGTGCTGCTCCACCCCACTCACCCCAGAGCCAGAGGACCTTTAGCAGCCTTTCCCTCCCGTCCAGGCGGTACCCTGGTACCTCTGAGCTGGTGAGCCCTCACAGGGGATACCTGCCCGAGCCTGCAGCTCTGCCGGCTGTAATCCAAGGCTCCCTCAGTCCTGCGCTTTATGAGGAATTCAGAATATGCTTTTTTCTAAGTCCAGGCTGAAGAGGATCTTAACAGAAGCAGTGGGTGAAGTCAGCAGGTACGCCAAGTACAGAAGTTGCCCAGGTGGTTGTGGGGGGAGGGAAAGGAGCTGTAACTGCCGTTAATGCTGCCAACGTATGGTTCAGACCTTTGGTGGGTTCGTGGTTCTGGAGCCTCCTCACTTCAGTACCGTGGCACTGTGTATGATGGCATCTCACTGTGTTTTACTACGCTGGCTGCAGGCAAGCAAGTTTCAGATGGGAGCTTCTTTCCTCTGGTTCTGCCATGGAGTAAGACCTTTATTTTTCATTTAAGCTGTGGAGCACTGGCCATTAGATTAGAGAAGATCATCATGGCTATGAGCAACAGGAGATACACTTCCTTCCATTTTATATTTAAAGTTCTGTATTTAGGCAAACCAAAGTCTTTTATAATAACCAGGAGAGCACTCATACGAGGCAAGTGCTGCTCAGGACTAATATAATAGTGTCTGTAACACTGGTGAAACCTGTTTTGTAAAACTTTTTTTTTTTTTTAAGAGGACAACCCAAGGGGCCATGACTAGCAATTTCTAAATTGAAAAAAAATTGAGAAAATTTTTTGAGCAAATTCCATTAAATCCATCTATTCATAAGCACAGGTCTCCTGGATGCAAAAACCTCAAGTTTAGTCACCTAGTTGCACCCTTTACATATTTTCTTTCCTCCTAGTATTTTGTGCACTTAGTGAACTATCCTCTACCACATAGGTAGAGAATAAGTTGCTGACTATCAGTTAACATATAAGCAAGTTCTATGGAAGAAAGTATCTTTTGAGGTTATCCAGTTGCTCATAGTTTGATCTGGCAGGACACTTTGAAATACCAATCACTTGTCACATAGCAAAGTTTGCTAAATGTGTGTTTGCAAACTTGCTCAGTTCTGACTCACCCGTTCTTTTAAAATTTTTGCATCTGTTACTCCTGTGTTAAAACACCAAAACTGAAGAAAAAAAAAAAGATGTTTAGCCTTATGTCATGCAACCAAGCATATCGTAAGATGTGGTTTTTATCTCATGATATGAGAGGGGGAAGAGGACAAGCAGTGGTACACAACGAGCAGACCCCTGGGATTTAATGGCACACTGTAATCAATCTGTTGCCTTGCAGGGATACACAAACCTCTTGGTAGGCTTTTTGTGTTGTGAGTCCGAGCTGATTCACACAGGACATGTAAAATGCTGAATGGGCCAGCAGTAATTTCAACATCATTGAGTCAAGACGTAATTCTAGTGGGCTACTTGGGATTTTAGTATATCACAACAAAGACCAACCAGTGAGTTGCATCACATTTACCATTTTTACCTTAGTTAGCCTTTCTCCCACCATTCTGAGGCAATGGCATCAAGTAATAAAAAGGATAATGTTTTCCTGGATGAGCTGTGCTGTGTTTGTTCCCTCATTGATCCTAGAGCACCTTGTCCTGGTTAAAGGACCTTCTGTCTTTCCACGTGCTGCTTAGCCTTATCAGTCTGCCTCAAAGGCACTGTTTGTTGCCCCCAGGTACTCTGACTTCTTCTTGTGCTTCATCCACATCTTCCTCAGGAGGCTGGGTGTCCCGCACAGGTTGCCTCCCGTCAACGGTAGGGAAGCTTCTGCTCCTGGTGGCAGGGTCAGGTCGTACTCCGCCGTCTTCCTCCAGCGCTGCCTGTGGCTAGCAAATAAAGCATAGACGCGTAAAGCATTCATCCCCGTGACCCTTCTTCCCTGATTATGGTGACTGGCCACTGAAAACCAAGGGCTGCCTGATTGCAAAGGGTCGCCCGTCCCTGGGACTGGCAAGTCTGGGATGAGCAGGGGCTGTGCAGGGCAGTGGGCTTGGATGCTGCAGCTGCCCCCACTCCACTTGGTGCCCCCTGTTCCCTTGCTGTCAGAGCGAACACTCACACGAGGGGATGGGCTACAAGTGATACCACTACTAAGTGCATCCTCTGTAGTGTTTGCCACCAGACAAGAAGCTGGTAGGTGGCGTGGGGACAGAGATGAGCCCTTCCACCAAATCCCCGGGGACCACGTGGCAGCCCCCAGGTGAGGTGAGCTCCACCTGGCCGAGGGGCCTGAGCTGGCTTACACCGGGTGATGGGGATTTATATCTCTGCCCATGGAGTGCGAGGACACTGTGACAATGAGCTTGTTACCGTCCCTCAGGTGGCAATAGTGGCACCTCAGATATAGATATCACCCAGATCCGTGCCTGGGTTAACTGCCTGCTGATGGGTGCATTTATACTATGGCCATGCTGTTCCTGAATTACACTTAAAGACAGCAAAGCTTTGTTTAAAAAATATTTAATTACATTTTTCGAAGCTGTCAGAGGGCATATTATAAACTTCTTAGGGGGAAAATACTTAAATTTTGAATTTATAAGGTTTTTTTCTAGTGATAAAACAGCTGCAACTGGCACCGGGACAGCTGTATAAATGGGCATGGCCGACGGTATAATCAGCATGTCCTTCAGCCACTCTCTGCCTCTGGGAAGCAAGGGCATGGCTTTACTGTAAATCACAGAGATTTTACAGTTCCAGTTCAGAGGAGATCTGCAGCTGAGCACTTCTTCATGTTTCTGGAGAGAGGGTGACCTGCAGCGGAGATGCCCCGTCCCCTTCCCTGCCCAGCAGCGCCCCGCGCACAGCCCCACAGGTTTGGCTGGAGGGGGGGGAAGGGACTT